CACTTCTCTACACAGCGGGTAGCGGGAGTCTGGAACAGGCGGCCCAGGCACGTTGCTGAAGATGATGCACTTGAAGAAGTGGCTGGACGAGGCACTGGGATCATTAGCTGCTGAAGTACTAAAACCCAGGGGGCTATCTGGGCAGACTGGCAGCAGCTGTAACTGTGTGTCCTCTGTTCTCTCCACCCCTCTGCGCCTCTCCCTGCCCCTGTGCCCCTGTGCCCCTGTGCCCCTCTCACCTGGTGGTTGTGCTGGTGGCCCACGGCGACGGCAGCCACAGTCTGGGCCTGGAGCTGCGTCTTCACCTGGAACACAGACAGCGCGCTCCGCGTCAACACCCGCCTGCTGCGCCCTCTCCCCCCCCGGGCTGGGGCACCCAACCCATCGCAGCACCAGGCAGGCCCGTGTGCTGGGGGGACCAGTGTGAGTTACCCCAAGAGAGGGAGGCACGAATACTTCAGCACTGTTGATGCACCATGACGCAATGTGCACACACACACACACACACACACACACACACACAGGCTCACGCTCACGGCGCGCTGTCACTCACCAGGTAGGCGGGGCTGGCCACGAACGCTCCCAGAGCCCCTGCGGTGGCGCCCGTGGCCAGACTGCCCCCTGGGGGCTGGGTAAGGCCCGCGGCCTCCGCGCGGGAGTAGACCCCCAGTCGGACCCCGTTCATCACGCCCTGGTACAGCAGGCCCACCGACAGCCCCTTCTGCAGGCCGGCCAGCCCGTCGGCCCGCGCCACCGCCCACAGCGCCTGCAGCACGCCGCGGTACGGCCGCGGGTACGAGCCCCGCGCGCGCAGCTCCCCCTGCAGCTGCAGCCGCGTCTTGGCCACCTCCAGCGGGTTGGTGAACACGCAGGCCCCGCAGCAGGCCGCCGCGCCCAGGGCGAAGTCCAGGGGGCGCCAGAGCGTCAGGGGCGGGGGAGGGGTCTCCCGGGAATACTGCAGCAGCACCCCCATCCTCCTGGACGGCAGGCGCCTACTCCTGCTCCCTGGGGTCCAGTGCTCGCAGCTGCGGGAACAGAGCCTCTCTCCTGTCCGGCCCCCTCCAGTCTGGCCCAGTAATCCCACACAGCCCAGTCCACACCAGTGTAGATTAAGAAGCCCGCGAGAAATCTCTTCCCAGCGGTTCTCCCTGGCTTGTTCTGAACCAGGAAGACAGACAAGAACCTCAATTACTGTTCCTAATGTCAATCATAATTATCAATCATTCCGAGACGGTAACGTCAATTCAGGTTCATCCCAGTTGAGTAAAGTGCCCTGGTTCTGGACCGGTCAGGTTCTAATCCGTGAGCCCGGGGCACAGCGACGGAGTGACGCAGCGACTATCCTCTTCTTCAAGTTGAGGTTCAGGTGCCAAAACTGCCCCGGTTGGCGTGGCAACGTGTATCAGCTGTGCCTCGGAGCTGGAGCCTGGCACAGGCTGGGTCTCTGTCAGGGACGCCGGACTCTGCTCCCTGACCCTGACTCCCGGCACAGCCTCGTCCGCGCAGGCGGGTCGCTGGGAGGGAGGAGCTGCCCGCTGGCACCTCGGCCCCAGTCAGTGGGAACATGAGCTCCAGCAGACCTCCCCTGCGACCGAGCCCCGCCTCCACCCCGCCGCTAGCCAATGAGGTTCTCCGCTCCTCACTTACCCCCTTCCCCTCAGCCAATGAGGCTTAGCCCATGCCCCCCTCTCCCCCCAGGAGGAACTAAAGGTTTCTCTGGGTAAAAGGTCAGGAGTAAACAGAGGGAGGGTTGGCGCTGGCTCTCTCAGAGGAAACTGGAAGGGTTACGCCTGGAACGTCAGCAATGTCCACAGAAGATCTGAAACCGGAGCTGTAGCTGCTCTCCTCACCCCTCCTGTTGTTATTATCATGTAACTGTCCCTCCGGCTGGAGTCTCCTTGACAAACACAAACACACGCCGTCACACAAACACTTCTTCACAACCCTGCTCATCTCTGGCTTCTACAGCCATCCGGCTCCTGCCCAGAGGAATCGGTCCCTCTGCGCACAAAACACACAGAGACACACACAGACTACACACACACT